AAAGATACATTACAGTGCAGTTGACAGGTTTCTACATGAACGATTGAACTTTTGACTTGAAATTCTGTGACGATCAAACTTTAAGGAACTCGATGTTCTTCGAACTTCATTCGTTTTATATAACTGCTCTGCTTTTATTTGGCTAACTCCACTGGTCACATGATCCTCGTTACTCTCATCATTTTCTTAAACAGCGCAGCGGGGAAATGGAGGAAGGACCATTTAAACTGTTGCACATCCACATTTCAGAGGCAGATGAGGTTCCTTGGACTCATCAGCAGGAACCAGCAGTTTGTTCTGTCAGGACTCAGTTTACAGTCGTACCAGGAAGTCTATTGAGTAAGCCATACCATAGAGACGTCCAGCTGCTGGGAAGGGGGTGGGGTGTTTTAACGGACGGACAAGGGAATATAAAGGGGTGGGGTTATTGCCATTAATGGCATCACTCCCCTCAGTTTCTAATTGGTTCATATCAGTGGAGGGCTGCTGAGCGCTCACCTTTAGTCCAACTAACATGCTAACACATGCTGGGGGTATGATTATGGCTGGTTTCTCAGTCTGAAGTGTTGGCTAGTAGTCATCCAGTCTGAAGTGTTAGCATGTTGGCTTGCCGTCTAAAATTTAAAGTGTTGTGTCAGTTTTACTGTTCGCCAATCTGTTAGCATGTTAGCTTACTGAAGGTGTAAGGACAGGTTTGTATTAGCAGTAGTCATGTCAGTTAGCTTGTAAGCTAACTTTAGATGATGGGTCTGGGTAGTACTCGTAGTATTTATGTGTCAGTTAGCATGTTAGCCCCCGCAGGTTGTTAGCAGAGCAGCAGCAGCTCGTCGTCACTGCTCTCCATCTTGCCTGTGGCCTCCAGACAGGCGTCAGGGATCTGTGCTGTGTGGACGATCCCACAGTGTTCACACGGGCCATCCCGCCCTCGGTGATGGCGGTGGGCATGGCCTGTGGAGGAGGAGGAGGGGTGTGGCTCCAGCAGCGGTCGATGGACCTCGCTGACCAATGATGAGGAGTCAGAGTCGGACACAGGGATGAGAAGCTCCACATCTTCTTCCTCGTCTCTGCTCCCACGTCGCTCAGGAGCTTCAGACCCGTGTCTTCCTGTCTCCAGCTGACGAAGTGGGCTGTGATTGGTCCAGGTCTGGTTCTGACTGTTTCTGGTCAGGTTCCTAGCGAAACGGTGCAAGTTCTGGGCCAGACGCTGTAGGGCAGAGGTGGGCGGGGCCTGTATCTCTGAGGTATCATTGTGGCATTCAGGAACTGGATTGGGGGTTGCCATTGTGACAGGGCTGGAAGGGGGCGGAGCTTCTCTGGGCCTGTCACGACACCTATCTCTGCCCGGTATTGGGGTCATAGGCGTCGCAGACGTTGTCACAGATACCACTGCCTCAACAGCAGTGGAGGGGGGGGTTTTCTGAGGAAGGGGGGCAACAGGCCCGCCCACCGCACCCACACCTCTCTCCCTCCCTCGCTCACCCTCTGTGTCTGTATCGTCTGAGTCCGGAGACAGCAGGTCTGAACCAGAACTCCCAGTGCTACCAGTACCTGCGCTGTCCTCCAGGTCAGCAGAGACCAGAGCCAAAGAACCTGACCWCCGAGAGCGAGAGAAGGTGAAGAGCCGGCGCCAGAGATTGCTATGACGACTGGAGGAAGGGAGTCTGAGGGAGGTGAAACCAAGCTGAGAGCGGACGGCCAGACGAAGGTTTTCAAGGACAGACGCCTGAGGAGACAGAATAAAAACCAATCAGACATTTCTACACTGACATTTATTTCTACAGGTAGGTGGGGGCGCTGTAACACACAACAAACTCCACAACATGAGCAAGACATGTTGCAGCTGCTGCTGAGGGAAGTCTGAGCAGGGCGGCCATCACAGTGTTTGGGTCAGAAACTGAAGCTAAGCTTCAAGTAGCACATACAAAAATTATTTCTACCTGACTCCCAGAGCACACTGGGAAATCCTCCACAGGTGGGATCAGTCCCTGGGCAATCAGCTGACCATAAGAGGGTGGGGCTTCCCTCCTCAGTAGCTCCGCCTCAACTCTGGACAACTGAGTCTCAAAAGACCTGAAATGACCAATCAGAGAGCTGCAATCACTGAGAAGAAGTTACCAATCAGAGGAGGTGACAAGTAAAGGCGTTGCTGCGTCCGCACCTGCGTTCAAACATGCGAAGTGAGTAGAGTTTGCAGGTGCAGCCGAGGGCGATGACCAGGAGGAGGCCGCAGATGAGGCTGCCGATGACGGCAGCCGTGATGACTCTGGTGGGAACGATGACGGGACAGCTCTCCTCGTCACTGCCGTCTCCACAGTCGTCCTGAGCATCGCAAACCCACGACTCAAACACGCAGCGGTTATTCTGCAGAGGTCAAAGGTTAAATTGATGTTACTGAAAAATATCAATTTTCTGTCAGAACCTTAGCTCAGACACTTAATCTTGGTTTTGTTCAGGTTTATGTTTACTCAATTTTCAGTACCTTGCAGTGGAAGTTCCCAGGCTGACAGAAAAAGCAGTTCTTTTCATCAGAACCGTTGGGGCAGCGGTTTTGGTAGTTGCAACGGTCTGATCGAGGGTAACATGCTCCGTTTCTGGAACAGGGGAACTCGTCCTCCTGACATGAAGAACAGTTCAGCTCATCCCGACCGTTGGGACAGTGCCAGTAGCCATCGCAGCGCTGCTGCTCTGTGTAACAGCCCCAGTTCCCCCCACAGGGAACCTCCCAGGGCAGGCAGAACCCGTCCACCTTAAGAACACACACAGAGAGGGAGAGGTTAAACTGAGCCCACAGAAGCACACAATCCACCTTAAAAATGAACTTGAGCATCGAGTCAGAACCACAACAACAGATAAAGCAGAATCTGCTGAACCCAGGTCAAATCAAGCACACCTGGTACGTGACGTTGAACCCTCGGGCAGCGTTAATCTTATCAGCATAGAAGTGAACTCGTAGCTGACCGGAAGATGAAACCACAGCCACCGGCGCTCTGGAGTCGAAGGCAGTCAACACCCTGAGGAGACGGCGAGGGTTCTCCTCGAGACCGTCGTAGACTTTCACATAGTCTCCATAACCTGTTCCATCGAGTTTAAAGTCTGTGAACCTCAGAATGACCTGCGGGAGGAGGACAACATAAGTCCAGGGATGAGCTGGTGGAACTGAAACCCCTGTCAGGCAAATGTGATGAGGTCAGAGGTCAGATGTTACCTTCCTGTGGTCTCCGGTGTCGATCAGCCAGGTGCAATTACTCCCTGGAGGATAAAAGTCAGGGTAGTTTGGAGAACTGAAGGAGCCGTAGAAGTTCCTCAACCATTCTCCACAGGTGGGAACGTCACAATCGATCTCATCACCGAGGTCCTGGGAAAATAAACAAGAGACACTCTAAATACTGTGATCGAGGGCTGGATAAAACACACAGCTCCAGGCGAGGGTGACTGAGCTGCTGTTACCTGACAGTCAATGCTGCCGTCGCAGCGCAGACTGTGGGGCAGGCAGGTGTAGATGCGAGTGTAGCGGGACAGGCAAGGGAACTGGTTGAGGCTGCAGGGCTGGAAGGAGAAGGGCGAGTCCACACACAGCTCCTCGTCTGAGTTGTCACCACACTCATCCATGGAGTTACAGCGCCACCAGTCTGGGATGCACTTCCCGTTAGAGCAGTGGAACTGGTCCACATCACAGCTGGATGCCTCTGGTTTACCTACAACAAGGCCATATTGATTATTAGTTACTACAACTGATGATGAGTCTTCACTCCTCCTTCATGGATCACCTGACACACAACTGACTGGCGATGGGGGGGGGGGGTCCCACACTACATAACCTTAAATCTGAGAGAATCCTGAGCCCAACACAAACCCAACAGGCAATCTGTTTGTTCTGAGGGCCTGATGCAGCTAATGAAAGCTGGTCTGACTGTGTGTTACTCAAGTCATTACACTCAAACTATCAAATTCACACTGCACTAAGAAATATGTGAATCAGCCTCAGGAGGCTGAAACATCCCTGACAGGACCTGTATGTACCGAGTCCTCACCAGTGATGTAGGACAGTCTGAAGCCTTTTCCTGTCAGACTGTCATCAGAATGGAAGTGGATCCAGACATGGTCCTGGGATGACATGTAGGGTGGGGGCAGTGAGGAACCACAAACCCTCAGTCCATCCAGGCTCCTATAGCTGCTGATGGACATCCAGTCCGACGAGCAACGATGGGAACCCTGCAGGTCAAAGTCCTGGAAACTACCAGAGGACACAAACAGAGAGTCACATTTATTTTATGGCAGAATCTGAAGGTAGTTCTTGGGTCAGATAGTTTCTAAATTTATTCTGATGAATTTAAATTGTAAACATATGTTGACCTTAGTCTTTTTAATCCTTGTTGTGTTGAAGGTCGACCGCTGTGTTCATACTGAATTATTTTCTCTGACATCAGCTGTTATGTTTTCTGTTCCAACCTTTAGCTGATGATGTTTTAATAGTTGTACACATTGGTGTGAGGGCATTAAGAATGACGTCCTGTGAAACTCATGGATATTTATTGTGCTGTAACCGTGGAAAGAATCTGACGTATGTCACCTGATGGTGATGGTGTCTCCAGGTCGAGCTCTGATGTTCCAACTACAGTTCAGTCTGGCTGGATACTGGAAGGGCCAACCAGGGCTGGTGATGATGCCACTGGATGCCCGCAGGAGCTCGGCCACGTCGCTGCAGGCTGGAAAGACAGAGAGAGATTTGGTTAGTCAAACTTCTGGTGTTTATTTTGGCCTGAGGGTTTTGTTTTGCAAATTTCTGATGCGTCATTGTGGTTGTGACCTCACCATTGGAAATTCCTGATACATAGACGTTGTCGCTCCTCTGAGAGGCAGCAATGCATCCTTGGAAAGCATTAGTGCACAGATAGTTAACAAGATGAGAACAAGAGCTAACATCACCTAACCTCTTCTAGCTAACACCGAAGCTGCATGACAACATCATCGGGTCCAACAATCACAAAACTGAAATAAACTGACAAAGATTTTAATGTGACAACTTCAAACAACAAAACAAGCGTGAAATCTAAATAAAATAATTTACCCATTATTAGTTTAATTATAAAATTATAAAACATTAGGATTAGTCTTTCTAAACATATGTCACACAGTTATATTCCGCAAACAAGCTCAAACTCAGTATGTTCAAGAATAAACCAATTTAACTGAATATGTTCAGATAAATAAGAAAATGTGGAAATTAGCTTATTAAATAAACAAGTAATTAATAAGTCAACATGCAATATAAACCCCAGGGACTGTAAAATATGAACAGGATGGAAGTAATGTCTGCAGTGTAAAAGGATTACACGTTTAATAAAATCAACACACATTCATCATGATCATTGTTTCCCATTTCTTTATTGAGTTCTTCATATTTGATGCTTCACCAACAAACACTGAAACACAACACTACCCCTAAGATCCAGGAACTCGTTTCCTATTGGTTGATCAGTTAATTGATTAATGAGCAGTGGATTATTGACTCCATGTTTGTAACAGCTGGTCCAGAGTCAGTGGACTCACCTGACAGTATGAGCAGGTAGACGACCCCCGCTGATCTGAGGGCCATGTTGCCTCCGATGGTTCCACTTGATGTCGGGTCGGATCGTGGTGATGATCAGTGAACCTACAGTTGCATGTCAGCCTCAAACTCCTCTGAAGTGTCACTAAAGCTGCTCTCAGACCAGTGTTCGCTGGTTAAACACACAAACACTAGATCATTGAACTGACTGTCCTGTCTATCATCTACGAGCTAACTAAGCTAACAGCGCTGACCTGCGCTCACATCATAAACCATCAGCTGCCGATGGAAACAAAGACAACTGATTCCTGCTGGCTAACAGCTAACGCTAGCTCTGCTAGCTAAAAGTACTGGACTGTTTCAACAACATTTCGCTTTGGGAACGTGCTCGATGGACAAAACAATCCGATACATGATCAAAACCCGGACTGAAGCTTAAATTAACTGGACTGAGTAACGGGTTAGCTAACTACTACAGCCAGCAGCTAGCTAGATTAAATAAACAGAGGCTAGCTCTTTGGCTAGCCTGCTTCTTCTATACAAATCAATTGACCACAAACTAGCAGTTGGAGTCCGGCTAACGCGGCTACCATTAATAACACTGGACGGTTAGCTGGGACATTGTAACACAGCTAGGAGGGGAACCGGTCACCCGGGTTAACGAGAGCTAACCCGAGATAACGGAGACAAACACTGATGTTAGCGTCAGCCTGACGATATCGTCTGTTAGCTGTTAGCTTCTCCTTGTTTTTCTCATCTGTTAGCTGTTAGCTGGTTCCTATGATCTGTTAGCTTCTCCTTGATCTTCTGAGCTGTTAGCTGGTTCCTATGATCTGTTAGCTTCTCCTTGATCTTCTGAGCTGTTAGCTGTTAGCTTTGTGTCGAGCTGGACAACTACAATGAGACTGTGACGTAATATCCACCGACCAATCAACGACGAGATTCTCTTGTTTTTCTCTCTAATCCGCAAGATCAGATTAAATAAACACATTAGTTAGAAAACATTTAGTCTTATTTCACATTAAACACATTTGTTTATGTTATAAATCAACTAAACCTTTAAATTATAAATAAACGAAACATTTTTTGGTAAATGAATTGATCTGATTCCGTTAATTTCTGTTTTGAATTATAACTTTATTGACTTGTTGTTTTCTTCCATTTGAAAATCATGCAGCAGAGATTCAGAGAAACAAGAAACATCCTTTGTTCCTTTGTGTTTTTGATAGTGTAGAAAAAAACGAATCAATAATACTCTCTGAAGTGTAGAAGTATAAAGCACCAGGGTTATTCCACTTCAATAAAGTTTCATTTAAATCACATACATTTTAGACTAAGTGGATATATAGATGTGTGTGTGTTGCTGTCTTTAGTATCCGTGGTGTAACCCTGTGTGAACAAGTTGACGTGTGGAACCTGTTTTCAAACACGTGAACGGAACATGTGTTTTCACATCTGTCCTGTGGGTCGGCACTTTCAGCTGTTCCATTGTTTCCTTTTCTCTGGACTCCCCCCCCCCCTCTCACACACACACACAGTGAAAGTCTCCATCTGCTGCTAGGTCACCCCCACCCCCGCTGCATTAACAAATGTTCAGACAGAAGGTCAAACCCTGCCCACTGTGGAACCTGCACATATGAGCTGATTGTTCCAGAGCGTGGTGGTTCAGTCTTCATGTTCATTTCATGTTGTTATGCTCCTGATCATTTGTCATCACGACACTAATATCTGATACCAACACTGTTATTTTGCTCTGATGACATCATTAAGTCAGTCTGAGCAGAAGTGACGGTGGAGTGGAGGCGTGGTATCGAGGTCCTGCTGATACCACACTGGACCAATCCTGAGTCAATGTCAGCTGTCAATCAAGACGTCTCAGAAGGTTTTTATATCATCAAAAACGAATTCAAACCAAACTGATCAGAAACACTTGAACAAACATCAGTGAGATAAGAATGAGCTGAAATGACAGAAACATCTTTAACAAATATTTATTTGACGTTTACTTTTTGAGATGTTTAGTTTAGTCCATGTCCCACCTGCTCACATGGAGGAGGAGGGTTTACGACCAATACTAGTCAGCAGTCAGGGGGTGCTTGATATGACTTGACCTTAGTCTTGCAGTTCTTTCATGACATTCATCTTTGTCAGTCTATGGTTCAAACCAGGAAATGCTAAATCAGGTTGGAAAAAACCTGATCCAGGAACCGTGTGTGTGCAGGTACAGACGAGTGAGTCGCTGTGTCTGCTCCTTAACATCTTAATGTTGGGAACGTCCAAACTCTCCTGGGAACAGAACCATCGCACTGGTTTATGTCCTGAAAGAATTCCAACTGCAGGTTTGAATTATTTGTTTATGAGCCTCCACTGCTGTTGCTGCTGAAGCTCATTATTTAGTTTTGCAGAAATGCACCATGGCTAAAAGTTTTTATGTCCACATGCGTCTGACTCTTACAAATCAAAAAACATGAATGTCTGCAGCAACAGCTACGCTAATGATGACGCTGATGATGACACTGATGATGACGCTGATGATGACGCTGATGAAGAGTTTTCTGCGTAGCTCCGCAGGAATTGATCTAGACTGAGGACCGTCCCCCAGCCGACAGCAGGGTCCATACTGATGAAGTCATCCAGGTTCATGTGACTCTCTGAGGAAGAAAGGCAACACAGTATGATGTCATCACAAGGTCACATGGTATACAGTACATCATCATGGCATGCTGAGGTGACAGGAGGCGTCATATGACCTGCAGTGTGAATGGGGGGATATGGTGGTGGCGGCATCTTCCAGGACCCATCAGGCGCTTTCATGTGAGATCGATCAGACGCAAACTTCAACAGGAAGCTGTCAGCAGGAACGACACGCAACTTCCTGTTAAGAGGAGAAGAGTGAGATACCTGTGGCGTTCAGGTGTGTTTCCTGTGGCGTTCAGGTGTGTGTTACCTGTGGTACTCGGGTCTGATGCTGCGATCGGAGCGCAGGGCCTTGGCACCGTACAGTTTCAGGCTGCAGGGAAACGACAGCTCAGAGTCCAGATCATAAACTAGAGCGTCCGACTGAAGACCTCTGACCATCAAGATCACATGATAGTCCTGAAATACACGGTGATGTCTTCAGTAACATGACCATGACATCATTTCTGCTCCATGAGCTGTCTGTGACATCATCAAAAACACAGTAACACCACAGACCCAGATCACCGGCTGGTCTCCACATCCAGACTTCTGTTTCCACAGAGGAACCTGACAGGGAACAGAGAACTTACTGAACTTCAGCTTTAGAACCAGACAGAGAGCCTGAGAGAAGGACCTGACATTTATAGAACCTGACAGATGTTTTATAGAACCTGACAGATGTGGACGTTCTGTAGAGTTCCATTCAGTTTTATTTGTATAGCACCAAATCATGATATACATAACATCAAGGCTCTTTACATTGAAGGTCAAGAAGTTAAAAATATATAGAGAAACCAACAGTTGCCACAATTCTCACCATTCGGTTCTCATTTGAGATGAAAACCACAGACAGATGTTCCAGTGGTGCGGTTCTCTCCTTCTTGACAAACTCACAAAGTTTCCAAACATTTTCTTCACTGTAAAACAACAACAGAACCAGTCAGACACCAGCAGAACCCCGAGCATAGTCCGAACAAACTCAAATCAATCACCAATCTACAGAGACACCTGATGAAGCCTCAGTCATGTGAGGATCAGCACGGACACAACTCTGTGTAGAACCTGATGTCCGGATCAACGCTCAGCAGCCAATCAGGTGTTAGAAGTCACTGCTGGATTAACAGAGACTCTACTGTGTCAAACTAAAATTCATTAATGTGAATTCATATTTTTTGACAAATGAATGAAGAATAAAAAATATGTGCTGCAGCTTTCATCTTTGTTTTTTTTACTGTCTGATCTTAAGAACCAACAAGAGTTGCATTTTACTTTGAAAGGAGCTTCTGGCCTCCACACAGGCTTTTAATTTGAAAGTGTCCAGTCGTTGATCTGCTGATATCGATCCCTGCGCGGATCAGTGATGTGTGTGGGTGATCACACTGATCGATCAGTCTTTACCAGTAACAGCTGCTGTAAACACAGTTTTCGCGGGTCGGTGTGATTCCGTCTTCACGCTTCATGTCGACGCTTCCCGGAAGTGGTTGTAATACGTTACATCCTGTAGAGACTGTGCCCTTTCAAATTAAAAGTACAGGGCGCTTTGTACCCAACCAATAGAAAGCCAGGTGTCGTTCGCTTTATTTTCAGCGCGTCCCGTGCGGGCGGTTACTATGAAGGCAAACGACGTCACTTCAATCAAAAGTTTATCGGATCGCCAGCCAACATGCAGCAGCAAAGCCAAGGACCTCAAGTAAGTTTTTATTATTTCAATAGTTTCATAACTGGATCAAACTTTTGAGTTAAGTGACGTCGTTTCCCTTCAGAGTAACCGCCCACACGGGACGCACTGAAGTAAAGCGAACGCGCCCGCAGCGAGGCAGGTATGGCATGGTCCATTTCATTGGTCGACCAGTGACAACACGACACCTGGCTTTCTATTGGTCAGGGACTTATGACAGAGTTCTAACTCTGTTTATTTACAGTCTATGGTTGGAAACACAAAACATTCCGAGCCACAGGAGAAATCTGAGCAGACTCACGAGGCGCAGACAGCAGCCCGAGAGCGGAAGAGCAGGAGGTCTGTGACAATATATCTGAGTGCAAGCACAGTCCGAGCAGAAGCGGAGCACATCTGAGTGCAAACAGGAGCTATTTTAGTGCAAGGCCAGAGTTTTGATTGATTAAAGACGGGACGAAAACTCCATATTCCTTATATACTGAACCTGGTCCAGTCAAATACACACTTCAAAATAAAACTCTCATCCTATTTTATTGATAGACGGTGCTAAAGTAAACAGTTTATTTATATTCGGTTCGTTTTTTTAAACATTAACTTAACGTTAACTGTCATGTGTCTGTTTCTGTCGGCAGAATAAAAACAGCAGCTGAAGGAATAGAAAACTGATCTGAAGGACGCCAGCCTCCTGAATCACCACGGTAACAACACACAGCTGATGATGCAACAAACTTCACAAAATGAATCAACAAAACAAACAAGTCAGAGAGTTTGAGTTTAATTAAAAACAAAGACAATAATAGTTTTGAGATTAGAGGTGAAAACAGTCAAAATGTTTCTACAACAGCTTGTATCCTAGCAACCTCGTTGTTAGCTGGTCATCTGCTGGACAGATTGTTGGTTGGTTGTCGGGCAGGTTGCTAGGTAAATAGGCGAATGGTTGCGTCCGCACCGGAGGAGAACACCCAGGGCTGTGTGGGGTGGAAGGTCACATCCAGAACACCGAGGTCGTGAGTGACCACATGACCTCTGAGGACCTTCACCGGGACGATCAGGGGGTTCTGCAGCAGGTCACTGGAGGGGGGAGGGGGGGTCTTAGTATTTATGTGTGTGTATCTGTGTATCACAGTATCATGTGTATGAGTGTGTGTATTACTTGTAAACTGTCCCGTGACAGACGATCACTGATCCATCATCAGAGGCTGACGCAAACAAAGGGTAGGCTCTGTGATAGGCCACACCCCTCACCGCCTTTTTATGGTGTCTGCAGACAGGAAGTGATCAACATGATCAAAACCAACAAATTTACAAATACACAGAAGGAACAATCAAAAGCTGATCGATTAATTTAGAAACAAATGATTCATTCACTTGATTATTGACACGTTTGATGGACAGGTGAGGATTTGATGGACAGGTGATTACTGTACCTTAACATCTTGTAGGGTTTGGTTGAGAGGTCGAGATCGAACCAGCTCAGTCTACAGTCGTAACTTCCACAGATCACATGATCACCTGTAGACAGAAGGTGAGACAGTGATGTCACAGTGCAGTGATCTGGTGTTGTGGTGAATCTGGTTCTGTGGTGGAACAGTTACGTTACCTCCAGGGTGGACGGCCATGCTGGAGATCCACTTGGAGTTTGCCTGTAGTTTTTTTGTCATTTCCTGTTTGACCAGGTTGTAGATCCGGACTGAGCGCTGCGTGGCCACAAAGAAGTAGGGCCGGACAGGGTGGAAGGACACACACTGAACTAGACCTTTGTTCTTCCTGAAGGGGTTCTGACTCCGTCTCTTGCTCAGCTGGTGGATGAATACCTGCAGGTGGCTGGAGTGATCCGGCATCACCGACGCCAGGTAGTCTCCCTTAGCGTGCCATGCTACCTGTTGGACAGCCTGATGGATCAACAGTGAGCAGTTAGTTCAGGTATTGATAAGGATTCTAAAATCAATCAGTGTTTTCTCACTTTGGGATGTTGGATTTTGAGGCGGATCCCCTGGTTTAGCTCCTCCCCCTCAGTGTCACTCCAGGTAACAGGGCCAGCCTCCTCTGTTGACCCCGCCTCCTGCTGACCTGAGAGGAGTCGCTCTGACGATGACACGACCTGTTTGTCTGCCAGAGAGGGAGACAGGATCAACACCACGGAGTCCCTGAAACAGAGAGAGAGAGAGACCGGTCCTCGCTCAGTGGTCGATCCGACACAACGGGTCGCAGACGGGTGGATGGACAGGCAGACAGGTACTTACATGGCGACAGCCAGCAGACAGACAGAAGGATTTGGGTTCCAAGTGATGCTCTTCACAGCTCCACCCACCTGGACTGTCTTCATACAGCGAGACGAACACACCTCCCAGAACCTCACAGAACCATCATCAGAACCTGGATAAACACAGAACCAGCACAAGCTGAGCAATCAACTACAACTCCCATGGTGCATTTCACTGGCCAACCGCCAATCACAGAACACATACTGTGACAGTTAAACATTTACAGTGAGACACCGGACTGTGTATAGAGTTACTATAGCAACCAGCAGCATGATGTCATACAGGTGGAGTGTGTTTTGATTGGTGAGTTACCTGAAGCGAGCCACTGTCCTGATGGAGACACACTGATGGAGCGAACCAGTCCGCTGTGACCCCGGTACACCTGAAGTCAGATTGAACAGATTACATCAAGGGTCACCTGTTCGCTGGCTGTGGGTGCGTGCGTGCGTGCGTCTGTGTGTCACACGTTCTGCGTCATCAGAACAATAAGAATAAAAACACGTTGACGTACCAGAGACTGTGTTGTAGGAAACGGCTGCAGGTCTTTGGGTTTGGGAAGTTTTGGGATCAAATCCTCTGGATTCACGTTCACCTGAAAACAGACGTACAGACCCATGATCACCTCCACAGGCACACTGTGCTCTGATTGGCTGCAGGAGCTTTTCTTATAATCTGATGTATCAAGTCTTCTTCAAGGTTTATCACAGGTAACCTGAAGCTAGTTACCCTCATCTTCCTCTGTCTGGGACACAGGTAAAGGTCGAGGCAGCGCTCAAACCTCTCGTGGAGGAAACGAGGAAATGCCGGGACCTGACGGAGGCTCGAGAACTTCTTGGGAACAAATGGCAACTTCCTGTCTGACGGATCCTGCTGCTCCCACAGAGCGAGCTGCAGAGAGAGAGAGAGAGAGAGAGAGAGAGAGAGAGATGTTCCATCTGTTCTATAACCAGGTGAGTCAAACAGGTGAGATCCTCATCATGTGACGTACCTCCTCTTCTGTGAACAGATACTCAGGTGGGGGGTTGTAGGACTCATGGTGACCAGGCAGTGGGATCTTGGGGGCGGGGAGGTGCATCCTATGTTTGGCCAGAATGGACGAGTCCTCACTTGCCCAGAGGTCGTAGAAATGCCCCCGAGTGTCGTCCTGCACCCGTCGAGGTTTGATCCAGCCCATCTTTATCGCATGGACCAGTTTAGACACCTGGGTAAAGGTGAGAGAGAGGGAGGCAGACAGGTGAGAGGAAGAGGGAGG